CTAATGAGATTGAAGAAGAATCACTTTACAAACCTCATGAGGAAAATCCTTTGACTAAAGAAGAAGTCACTAAATAGCCTCACAATCTGTTTGCTAAACCCATATTTAGTGACAAATTTGTCAAAGCTACATTTAGCCCTGTTTATTAATTTGTCATGTTTTGCGTGGTTGGCAGACTTCTGCTGTGTTGTTTCTGTATGTTGTAGGGAGATAATAGATTTTAAAAAATGAAGAAATACTTTCATATTGCTGGTGGAAATTTCGAGCAACTGTTGGCCCACTGACATAGAGGAAAATCCCATTTTCTGATTAGTTTCCCCGTTCCTAGAAACCAATCTTATGTTTTTTATTTCCCCAAAGTTAAATCTGCAGTGCTCTCATTTAATCAGGCATGTTGATTATGACTAATTTGTTGCCGTGGCAAGGAGAAGCAGAAGGAGGAGGGGTTTTTATTGTACATAATATTAGTAAGTCAGCGCAGAGGATTACAGTGTCTTCAGAGAACATTTCATTACTTCATTAGGCTCCCTCAGATAACCTTTCATTTCACATTAATAGTTTTCATTTAATCCCTGCCCATGTCTGAGCTGCTGCTTGCAATGTACGACATGATGAAAAAAGCCTGTGGAGTGACTGCTCCTGTACAAGTGGAGGTCCAGGTGATTAAGGAGTAAACTTCAAGGGGCCGCCGGTTCCATCGAACCCAGAACAGCTGCTGGAACAACGTGCTGCCGAACAGGATTTGTTAAGTCGGCTGCAATTTAGCGCCGGAATTTGTTTTTGTCTTGTAATTTCTAAGCATCTGCACTTTCGCTAATTCTTCTAGATTGATTTATCCCCGGTTCATTATCCCCATGGGCCAGATATTACTCGAGCGGAGATGCAGTTTGTTCACCTTTCACAGCCACTTGCCAAACTGTCTTTTGGCAAAACCCAACCCTAAGTTGCTCCCAGTAGGAGACGGGCATTTTGCTCGACAGCTTGTGTCTGAGTTTGAGGAATGTGCAAAACCCGGGAAAGCCCTAGTTAGATGGAGGTTTTTGAGCAAATAATTAGTGTATCCACATTAATGGCATGATATCAGAGTGTCACGAAAATGTTCGTTCATCCAAGTGATGAAGGTTTTTTCGTATAAACAGGCAAATTCTTGATCACCTTGGAAAACATTTACTGTATAATTTTGCTTTTGATTTGTGTGGGTGTCAGAAAACTAAGACAGAAACAGCTCTGTGAAAGTTTTGAGAACTATTAAATAAAAATGCAAACTAATTTCACAGGTCAGCACCCAAAAAATTGTCTGGCGTTTTTCAGCTGTTCTAGTGTCATTTTGATGAGCTGAATCCAAAAAAATCACATTGGTTTTGCTCAATCAGGTCAACTTTCTGAACTGTGGAGCAACATGAGTATCGAAATGCATGACTTGTTCTTACAAATGGATCAGTTTCCTGAGAATCTGGGATCAGTGAGTGAAGAGCAGGAGGAGAGATTCAATCACGACATAGAGGAGATGGAGAATTTTATACATGTACTTACCCTTATCAGTGTTTATTATTCAGTTCACAGAAATCCAAGTTTGTAACATTTAATCAATACACTCTGTTGGAAAACAATTTTTTTTCCTAAAACCTTTTTTGGATTAGAAATGAACTGATAATGTCACAAAAATGTCATCAATTTAGTCAGAAGATCGGATTTCTCTAAATCAAATTAAAATAAAATCCTGACCTGATTGATAAAAATGGAAGTCATGATTGGATTCAGCGGTGCAAATATTCCTAATTCAGCTGAAAAAACGTATACAACTTCCAAAAAATATATATTTTTTGTAACCCAGTGTAATTTAACTACAAGGAGGTTCGTCTGCGTTCACTTTACAAGTGTATTGACTCAAAAATGGACTGTGGGTAGAAGACAAAGACAGCCTTTCATCCACAACAGCATACATATTTAATGCAAATTTCTTACAACACTACCTGTAAGGCTTGGTGGTGATTGTGTAATAATTTGAAATAGGACTTTCTCTTGAATCTGCTGCTGGGTGAAATACTCTTTCTGTGTCCTAATATTGATTGTGAAAGATCAAATAAGTAAGGCATAAAACAAAAATGAACCTTCCAACAGGAAGACAATCTTTAGGAGTCAAACCACGATTATGAAATTCTGCAAACTGTCTGCAAGGGCCTGTTTCTACCTGAAAGAGTAATTACTACTATTATATAAAGTATATTATATTACATGCTGGATTGCAACTATCTACTCAGGCTCAGATGGTTGTTTTACAGTTTTATTGAAATACATGTCAATGTTATAGTTGCATATAAAACAAAACAACCAGTTAAAAGTCTCGCTTTGTGTTCTACTTTATTTGCCAGCTGTGTTTGGCACTTCAAACACAGGTAAGAGAAATTAAATTACATGCTAGCCATACTTGAAAACTTACAGGCAGCACAATGATAAACACAAAACAAAGCAATTATTACCTGAAGCACATTGATTAAACTCTGCAGCAAGAACAGAAAATCCTTGAGTTGGGTTAAGCTCAAGCTTAAGATATGTGAGCATCATACCCTCAGTATCTGCAAGTCAGCTGAGACTTGCAGTCTTTTACTTGAAGTAAATATTAAAGCAACATGAAACCATTATTAAATCATAAAGTCGTATTTGTTGTAATGCTAATCTACTCCGTAGATCAGGGGTGAGAACAGATTCTGTCAGGCAGAATTTGTCTCTACTCAAAAGCAGAGGAAGCAGTTCCATGTTTGAACAAAAAACAATTCGGGGTGCTGTCAAGTCGAGTTAACTCACTTTATTTATAGACCCAAAGATAAAAACAACACAAATAAATTACATGCTGATTTTGATTTTTGTCAAGTTTTTTCAAACTTTTTTTTATGCCACAACACTCAAATGTCAGCATATTTTTATTGAGATTGTATGTAATAGACCAACACAAAGTAGTGCATATTATGAAGTGGAAAAATAAATGATTTCAGAATCTCAGCACATCAGGAACAGAAATGTTCACTGTGTTCTTTGAAACGTGACTCAGTCAGATCAAATGGAGAGCAACTGTGAACTTCAAGTCTTTAAACAGATTCTGAACTGGATTTTGGTCTGGACTCTTTTTTCATTTCACTATTGAAGCTTAAGCTGCATGTTTCAAATATTTATCTATATTTAACTGGATTTATCATCCATTCACTCCCGACGAAAAGCATAGTGCTGCCCTTACCGTGTTTAAAGAGCCAGTATTATCTAATATTGACTTTTTTGAGATGTCCGTCATCTTATAATGTTATTCCCTCATTGAAAACATAACTGGAGTGTTGACTTGATTCTTCCATTCATGCTTGAGAAACTCTTTAATCTCCCATGGCAACCATTCAGCTGTGAAAAACGTGTGGTGGGACCTGGCTCCGCCTTCAAGGACGAAGCTCCTCCTCAAAGTTGCCATTTCCAAACTTCTGAGCTTCTGCCTCATAGAGCTGCCGTCCCCTGCAACTCCCCCACTCAGCTCCTTCAGACTAGCCAGCAGCAATTAGCAAACAGCTGGTGGAACTGCACATGTGCTGGGCTCATGTTAGAAACTACTTCTCACTGGTAAAAACATTAAAGGGTTAAAAGAGGAGCCATATTGTGATGACTTCCTGAAGGTGGAGTTTCAGAAAGAACAGGAGTTTCTTAAAACGACAGTCGCAATTTCAAATTTTTTACCATGTCAAATTTTTTAAGTCACATTTGATATATACAGCATTTCTATAACAACTGAAGGTAACATAGTTACTTGTTTGTGCCATAAATGCCACTATGTGGCTGGAAAACACACAACACATAATAGGGATGATTTTGTCTGTTTTCAGTGGTAACACACCAGACATGCCACCTACACTGCAGAACACCATGTTCTGTTCACTGGGGTGGGCATTTGTTGTTTTCACCCCTCCATCCACCCCTCTCTAAATCCCCCACTGTGCAGCCTTAATTGCATTCTCCAGGGAGTGATGAGTTTGGACACCAGACACTAAACATTAGCTATTCATAACTCCGTAGCACCATATTAAAAATCTGTTCAACTTGGCTGCCTGAAAACGCAGGATTCTGCAGGGCTAGTCGGAGAATCACAGGCGTCTGTCGGAGGCTGCAATTTTCCTGGACACCAGTGAAACAGCCCCTATTATACAACACATTAATGGCCCAAAGCCTGTCATGTTTTGTACATAGGCTGGCATTATTGAAATCCCCGGCTTTTCAAATTCCTTTTTAATTCTCTTAGAAAATGTCCCTCTCATGCCTGGCTCATTACTGGCCGCATCACAGACAATACTGCGGATATTAGCGGGCGACCTGCGTGACTTCAGGTCAAAGTTCGGCTGGTGAAATTGAAAGGATTTGACGGGTATAGAAACCGTTTGTGTACAGAAGCAGCTCTCAGTCGAGCCGTTTTGTTTTTCCTTCCCCACGTCGTGAATTATGGTCTTTTTGAGATCTTTATAAAGAAAAAAGATGATTGATCACACTCTCGCTCGCAACAATGAGAAGCTGATCTGCTCCTTTTCCCAATAATGCGTCTCCCGGAAATTAGTTATTGCCACTTCGGAATATATATCTCGGGGTGTGCAGAGAGTGAAAGATTTGAAACCCTACAAAGTAAAATCTATCCAGCACCAAGAAAAATCCACATTTTCTGGACAACAAAGCATTAGACAACAAAGGATTTAATTGTCAGAAACCAAGCAAACTCCTCCATGAGTTTTCGCCACATGAACTTAGAATGCAGGTTAAAAATGTCATCCAAACAAATTCCCAGAAATTGGTATGCCTTGACAAGCCAGGCTCTCCTCAGTTTGCTCCTGACAAATGGCAGATCTGTTTACCTTTGATAATCTTGTCAGATCTGAGATTGACTCATCACCCTGTCTCTGTAAATCTCCGTCTCTTTGACTCATCGACCCGCAGACGTAATGAAAGCTAATCTGAGCCATCGTTCATTTGGTCCGCAGGGTTGAAGATCCGCGAAGTGATGATCAACGTGTCCCGTCAGCAGGTGGAGGACTTCCACGGCCCGGAGGACTACTGGTGTTTGTGCGTCGCCTGGAGTCACCTGGGGACCTCCAAGAGCCGCAAGGCAAGCGTCCGCATCGCCTGTAAGCGACGTCATCTCCCTTTGATTCCACGTTGACCTGACTGTCTCTGAAATCAGTGTTTCTTTTTTTCCTTGTCAAAACATATGATAATCGATATATTTTAAGGTCACAAATGTACAAGCGAACCATTTCCTGTTGCGTCCTAATGTGTTCTTTTTTTGTTGTTGTTTTTTTTATGTTGAATTTTCATTGTCTTTTCTAGACCTGAGGAAGAACTTTGAGCAGGACCCCCAGGGCACCGAAGTGCCTCTGAACGGCATGATTGTTCTGCACTGTCGTCCCCCAGAGGGAGTGCCAGTGGCTGAGGTGAGGGGCTGCTTGCTCTTCAAAGAAACATTTTACCCTGTGTTGCCTTGAGAGCAGCTGTCATCTGTCTGGTTTACTCGAAGTTGTCACCAGAGAATCTGCTTTCGCTCTGCAGATTCAACATATCAGAGACCCATCTGCACTTTGTGTTTCAGTTCAGAGGGGGCTTTAGTTGTACGCCGAAGATTCAGATAGTTTGAGCTTTTAGAGTTCTGTGTCCGTGTCAGGCATTAGTTGGATCGTGGGGGCTGATTTATATTTCTGTATACGTTGCAAAAGTATTCATCCACTGTGGAATTTCATGTGATAGACCCAGACAAGGTGGTTCATAATTGTCAAGAGGGAGAAGATTGATGCATGGTTTTGAAAATCCGAAAAGGGTGGCCGATGTTTCTATTCAGTCCCTCTGGGTTCAAACTTTTGCACTTACAGTTGCAAATGTTTTGTAATAAATCTATCACAAGTAACTTTTCAGCAAGACATAGGCACTTCTTTTAAGTGAATAACTGTTTCAGTGAATAATTTATTAACTTAAACTACTTGTAAGTTAGTGTACAAAGATATTTGCACTAGAAACTGAACCAAATATAATTGGTAAGATGTGGTATTTCTGCAGTGCATCGGGTGATTTTAACACTTGAACATGTTTTGAGTTAAATCATTGGACTGTGGATTTGCTGACACTTTTTGAACTATTGACCACAAAGTTCTCTTGTGACGCTCTCTGACCTTCCTCCACACATTTGCCATGTCTCCTACGTGGCTTATGTCAAGCTGCGAATATGACTTTCTCTCAACAATCTCTTCCTTTCTGCCACTCCTTCATGAAAGGTCAGATTAATGAAGTGCACAACATGTAGTCATTGCGTGAACCGATCCCCCTCACTGAGCCGCGGACCTCCGAGTGACCTTGATCTTCTCGACTGGTTATCCTTGTCCAGGCTATCAGCTTAAGTGGACACCGTGTCTTGGTAGTTTTGCATTTGTCCCACACTCATTTCTATTTTTGGATGATGGATAAAACAGTGGTCCATGAGACGCTCACATTTTGAGATATTTATTTTTAATCCAACCCTGGTTTGAACTTCGCTGTGACTTTCTCCCTGACCTGTCTGCAGCGTTTATTGCAGTGTTTCTCTCATGCAGGTTTGTGAACAGCTGAGATTAAATTATGTGCATCTGACCTCCAGCTACTCAAGGTCAGATTAGATTGACTAGATTTTATGTAGAGGAATCTGAATACTGAATACTGCAGCACAATTCTTCTGAATTTTTACTTGTGAAATACAAAAATAAACAAAAAACACACACACGCACAGACACACACACAGTTGATCATTTTCTTTCCACTTTACAGCTATTTGAAATGACAAAGCAACTGTGCTGCTTTGTCACTTTACTTTTCAAAATAATACATTGGAGTCTGTGGTTTTTAAAGTGGCAAAACATAAGAATAAAAATGTGAAGAAGCATATTTTTCTTCATGCAATTTTCAGTCTTAAAGGGGTGCATAATTGCCTGACAACAAAAAAGAATAAAAAATCAGCTGTCACTGTCTTTTTAATTTTTACTATGAATACAAAATGAGGCTTTCGTGGACAGTCTTGTTGAGTGGTGTGTGTTCTGCTGCCGCCGCTCGCTGATGCCGCTGTGTTCCTCCATGCAGAGGCTCAGCAGGGAAATATGTCAATATCAAAGCCTGTGTGCCCAGCCATCTGAAGCTTTCCATTTACTAACAGACACAGCCTGTGATCTGTACAAAAACAAAGCGCCAATCCTACCCTCCAATTTTAAAAACACCACACCCAAAACGGCGAGCTTTTAAATACGCTAAGCACAAGGTTACAAATGTTGAAAAGTTGAGGCTTTTGTCAATTCTGGCAAGCTATTGTTCATGTTTGGGATGTTTAGCGTGAAAATGAAGTTTACGTGACGCTTGCCGAGGATTTCGGTTCTCACTCATTTAAGTCTGAAACCTCTTGTCGTATTCTGCTGCTGACGCACTGATACTAGAGCTTTTGTTCATCAGTCAGTGATGACTTTATTACCAAAGTTCAGTGAGAAGCAATCATTGGAGATGAGAAAAGGCAACAGCCACCTTTGGTGTGCTGAGGCTGACGATGACGAAGAAGAAAAGTTCAAAGAAAATTTTCAGGTGGTTGATCTATAAAGAAAATTAGTGATCAAAGGAATTATTATGGCCTTCAAATCAAAGCAGTTCTTGATCTTTGTCACTGTTTTTCTAATTCAGATCCAGTCTGTTTTTCTGTTTCTCTGTATTTAAACAAAAAAGGTAACAAATATCGGTTTGATTAAATAAAATGTTCTTTAAGCTGAAGTGTTGAAAGAAAAATTTTAATATTTTTACCTTTTTTCTCACTTACAAAATTTCAGTTTTAAAATAAAACTTTTTTTAGGTTTTCATTAAGACTAGACTTGTGATTTTGAGCTTAGATTTATTAAATTTACAAGAACGTGAACGTCAAAACTGCAACAAATAATTTTACAAGGGGTTAGGAAATAATCAGAGTGACCTACATTGAAAGAAAACAAAATAATTATTTTTTAAAAAGTCCTCAATTGTTGTCATGTAGGGTTTTCGAATCAAAATGCAGATAGAGTCTCAGAATACAGATGATGGAACATGAGGAACAAACCAGAGCGACAGCAACTGTAAACTCTAGCAGTGACAGACGGATACCAAGGAGCTTAAACACAGAGGAAATGTGAATATGACATGGAAAGAATGTAGATTATAATCTAAGCTGGGAACTGAGGGAACGGTGGAAAATGGACAATCTGAATGGAAACTGCTAAGGTCTGCTAACAAAAAACTAAAACAAAATGCACAGAAAAGACAGGAGAAAGAATTAAACCTCAACGCAAAGGAATGAACTAAATACCTTAACACAGGAAAATAATCTACTTTCAAACACAAGTGAGAAGCAAAACTCAAGCAATGTTTTCTGTTATGTGTGAAATCATAAAACAGCAGAATGCAAGTAAATTTTTCTCAATATTTTATTTTGATTAACTGTCCTAAAATTTGCGTATTGTGGAAAAATGTATTCCTAAAGACAAATGCATAACATGCAACATGATATGCCCAGTGTGTCTCCGACGTGGATTGTAACAATCTGTAAACATGACTTTCTTTTCACAAAAGATGCTCTACTTTAAAAGAGAAATGTTCCATTCCTTCACTCGAGCTTTGAATCGCTGCAGCCCCTCCAGAGTAACCAATCTTGTCAGTTTATGTTGATGGCCATGTGTAGGCATTGTGACAAAAACAGTTACAACAATTCAACCTTGTGGTGTTTCTTTTTTGAACTTCATTTCACTGATTAACATTTTTTCCCGGAAAAGTCTCAAAAGAGATTTTATCCTTAACAATCCCTGTAGGGCTGCATGCGTGAGGTCATCTTATGTTTTTTCAAGATGGTAGGTTTTAATGCTTCATATTTAATATTTGCTTTATTAAAACAAAATCCGTCAGAATGCAAGTTATTCAACCCTAGTTTTGCAGCTGCTCTTTGAAGGCGGAGAAGGACATGCCAAGAAAGAGGACCAAAGCCTTTCATGTTTTCGCTCAGAAATTAGCAGAAGAGTTAACCAATTATATTTTAATTAGCAGAGAGTGAAGCCCAAGGCTGTCTTCAGAGACCAGCATTTTTCTTGCATGTATTTAACTCAAAGCAGTTCAGTTAGTGCACAAAGAACACGCTGAGGATCTCATTGGTACATTAAAAACCTGTTACGTGCAGCACCAAATTTTCCAATTTATTATTTACCATTATTTATGTAAATCAAATCCACAAAGCATTATATAGAATGACAGAAAGTTGCCCCAGAAAGATGGAAGTGAACTTGGCAGCAGTACATGCATTAGAGATTTTACAGCCACGACAATGATGGACAGATGTCCACAAGCTTTCAGACAGTGTTTAACCCGACTGGCAGGAAAATGCTCTGTGACATTTTTACAAAATCACAAATACATTCAAAGTCTGCCCTCGCTTAGTTTAGCCAGTTTTTAATTGGATTTCTTATTCTGTTTGCCTGTTTAGTTATTTGACACTCACACTACTGACTTTTGATTCTTGTACCACCGCTGGCTTTATTTAGCGTACATTCAGGCACTAATTGGGTGACGTACCGGCAGGGGGCTGCTGCTCGCAAAACATCCAGCTGCAGCTAACAATCTGTGTCTGAACATCTGCAAAAATGTGATCCTGTTGTATGTTTTTCTCTGTTTTTTTTATGAGAATGTTAATTTTTTAGGAAAAAACCCTACCTGGAAAACACAACCAATGGGAAGAACATGGCTAAAAGTTTGACATGTCAAAGATATGTCGCATAGATAAAGATCCTATGGCTGCTGTAAAAGAATATTTTAGTAATCGAGTGACAAGCATCATGCCTGGCTGTTTAAAAATGCTTATTGGTCCCCCAAAAAACGATGAAAACACAGAAAGTTCCACGTTATCCTGCTAGCACTTAGCAACAACTCACAGGCAGAAACGAGAACACTGCCCATCACCAATTATGATCCGGCCGGAACACGATGTGCTTAATAATAAAACATAATTTAACAAAGCTTTGAGGCAGATACGTTTTTCTCTAGGAATTTTAATAATCGAGGTACTTGAATCATTCGAGGAATCATTACAACCCTAAAAGATACATCAACTGTGTAGGAGGATGAAGTTTGTTCAGGTCCAAGCAAGGTAAACAGTGACTTCATTTAAACAAAAAATGCAACAAAAAAAAATAATTAAAAACAGATAATAATGTACTGCATATCTGGAAACCTTATTAATTTTATGGGTAAGAAAATTGCATAATTGCACAACATTTTGTCCATTTATCACGGTAAGCTAGTCACTAACAAATAACTTCACCTTCAGCACAGTACTTTTTCACAGCATTGTGTAATAAAAAATAAACCACAATTATAATTCTCTCTGTGTTTTTTGAAAAATGTGAAAAACATTAAATCA